ATAATATTCAATATTTTCTTGGATTTAAATTAACTATATATAGTTAATTTAAATCCAAAAAAATATTTAATGTATTTAACCGCAAAAATTGTTGATTCAACATAATTTTTCTCTTAGCAAAAATGATTATCCAAACACCATTGGCATAAAAAATCACGACATGATTTTTTAGGCCATCGGTCAATCGCAAACAGCGATGGCATAAAAAATCACGACATGATTTTCATTTCTTACGCAGTGACATCCGGATGATGTCCTTATGAATAAAATTTGTGAAAATCACGACGTGACGTTCGTATGATTTTCATTTATCACGCGGTGACTTCCGTATGATATCAGTATGAATAAAATTTGTGAAAATCACGACATGATGTTCGTATGAATATCACGAATGTTGTCCGGGTACGTCCGGTGCTGTTGTTTTGATTCCCGTCCACCCCAGTACCCCTTTTTTGTGTGGTCGTTTAAGTACGCCTCCGCTTAGCGTTCCATGTCTGTAATGTGTGCGTAGCGGCGGAGTTGGTCTTGGATCGCATCCTGGACGTATGCTCTAAATGTCTCTAAGTTTGTCTTTGTCTGTGTTCCCAGGCAGTTTCCGTCGTGTTTTTCTGACACTTTCGTTGTCTATAATTTTATTTGTAAAAGTTGCCTTTTTATTGGTATAAAATTCGTGGTGCATTTCTCATTAGTCTGAACTTATTAATGTTTTGCCAATTAGGTTGGCGTTTCTTTATGGTTTTTCGAGAGTTTGTTTGGAGAATAATCTTAATGTCTATGTTTTTGTGGATTGATTTATGGGATGATGTCTAGCTAGTTATTTGTTTAAGGCACTGTTTGCGCCTGGTTGCCAGATGTAAATCTTGGTAATTTACGGTTCCAAAGTTTGCGTTTGAATTTAGAATTTAAACAAATTTTAAATTAAAGTTTATTAGATTTTCCATAATATTATATTAGGTGATGCAATTAGATACATTACTTATCCGAATCTCTACCGTTTGCTTTGGCACGTGTTGTATGTGTTGATAATCCAGGTAGGTCGTTGTCGCACCCTTTTACACCAGTAGCTCTCTATGTGACTTAAAGCGGGGACCCCACGCACTTCTCACTTATTTATTTTATTTATTAATTAATTCTATTTATTGTATATTTTTTGCACATGTATTTGTTGAATTAACAGTGGATCACTTTTTTTTTTTTATAAAGTTATAAAGTGCTCTTTTAGTTCCACCCTTACATCCAAACTAAGATGTCCAATAAGCCAACTAAATGGCTTGTGCGGGTTAGGGGTAGGAACGGACCGGCTTAAAGTCCCCTCCGAAACAAATTCGTTGTTTCGGTCCTGACTGTATCACTTTCCCTGTTGTGGCACGGTAATGCTTGCCGCGTGAGCGTTGGCAACCTCTTGCCACGTGGTGCCGAACGAGGGCAATGAGTGCGCAATACTGTATAAATTATTGCTGCACGCATTTCTGAAAAAAGCTGTTGCAGCAATCGCTGTCAACATACAGGGTGTCCCAAAATTGGGGACAAAATTTTAAAGGTAAATTCTTCTTAAAATTCCAAGACCATTTTTTCTTTGCCATTTTTTAGAATTCGGAAAATTGCAGGAGTTATTTAATTAATTAATGTACTTAATTAACTAGTGACAGTAATAACAAAAATTGACAACATATACCTATCTTTTCAATTTTTAGATAGCTTGTCGTGAATAATTTAATATTAATATATACTTATAATACCTATATTATATGCTGCAATTTTGAAAAAACAAAACCAATTTTCATAAAAATCCAGAAGAAATAGAACTATTGACAATGTTGCAAAGCAAATTTAAAGAAAAAAATAAATTACATCTTTAAATAAATAGTATTGTATTACACTACAAGGGCCGAAAGTTAAATTTTCAGCAGGACGCGCAGGACCGAGATTTCAAAGTTTGGCCCGTGTGGTGTATACTATTTTTCTTCATACATCGGTCGAAAGTACTTACTTTCGTCCCTAATAGCACAGGGAGCAAAGGTTTTAATTCAAAACTTTCAGATGCGAGGATTAAAGATGGTGTTTTTGACGTTCCTTAAATAGTAAAACTGTTCAAGGATGACTATTTAGAAACATTGTTGTCAATTGACGAAAATGCAGCATACCAATCATTTAAGTTAATCCCTGCTTAAAATACCCCATAGAGACCCTGTTTAAACCGATAGATATTTGTATCGGACTGTATGGTGTTTCTATAGGGTGTATCGGTATGTATAGGACCCATAGTTGGGATTTATGGTTGTTCTATAGGGATATCCACCCTTGATTTATTCTTGATTTATTTGCTATTGGTTTCAATGGGGAAAATACACATAAATGTAGAAATTAGTTTTTCCCCCATAGAACCCTATAGGTTTGAATACAATTTTGACAAATGTTTTATGGTTGCTCTATAGGGATATCCCTATATATATCCTTCATTGAGTTATTTGCTATCGGTCTCTATAGGAAAAATGTAAAAGTTATGGTGTGCCTATAGGTAATTTCCTATACATTTTCTATCGGGCCGTATCCGGAAAAAACCATGGACAAATGCACATATTGAATCCGGTAGCGCCCGATAGATTATTTTGTATAGGTCTCTATGGACTCCATAGTATGGAGTATTTTAAGCAGGGATCGATTAGACTTTTTACGAAACAATAAGAGTCAGAATTATGCAGAAATTGTAACACATTCCCATTTAGATTTCTTCCCCAAGAATCTTGGTAAATATTGCGATGGACATTGATAACGTTTTCATCAACAAATGAAACCAATGAAACGACGATACCAAGGACACTTGAATCATTTTAATAGAAACATTTAAACATAAAATGATGTCCAGTTTATTAGCTTCCATTTGAAATACTGTATATAAAAATACGTCTATGCCTAACAAAGATATGATCAATAACACTGTGCAACACAAAAAATGAACTGGGATCAAATCTAAAAAAATCGAATCTAGGCAACCCCCAAAACAAATCCTTTAAGGGATTTTACCAGTTTAGCTCGAATAATGGAGATATACAGGGTGTTTCTTTTAACTTGAGACAGCTCAATATCTCGAGAAATACGCATTTCACGAAAAAATGTCTTAAATAAAAGGTTAATGTGACTAAAGGGGACTTTATTTGGTGCTACCGCTAGCCACCCCCTACCCCTCCTTAAGGGTGAAACGGGGGGTAACTTTGGAAAGTCAAATGGAATGACCCGATTTTTTTCACAGAGTTTGGTAGTACATGAAAAAATAAATAACTTTTATTTAAAACTTTTTTCAATTTATAAACAGATGGCGCTGTAATTCAAAATTTAAGAAAAATGACTTTCCTTGTAAAATGTATTATTTGAAACGTTTGAAAAACAAAAATTAACATTAACAACAATAGTCGGCTATGAAAACAATTTATAACAAATGTTCGAAAAGTCGTCATTCCATTTCAACACATTTTTGAATGCGGGTAATGAATTCTGGCACACAACGCGCCAACATGTCGGGCGGTATCGCCGCACAGGCGTTCCTGATCCGCTCCACCATGTCCTCCCAAGTTGTAGGAATTGCAGCGTAAACTTTTTCTTTCAAGTAACCCCACTGGAAGATGTCTGGTGGCGTAAGATCAGGTGATCGAGCAGGCCAAATTACTGGACCACGTCTACCGATCCACCGCGGTGCACCTGCCATTGAACTCCAGATCCAACACCTCTCGAGCAATTGTCGAATAATGTGCAGGACAACCATCTTGCTGGTACCACATGTTTTGGAGCCGTGTTAGTGGTACATCCTCCAAAAGGTCCGTCAGATCGTTTTCTAGAAAATTCCGGTACTTTTCGCCATTTAATGCACCGTCAATAATGAAGGGTCCGATTAATCATTCGCTTAAGGTACCGCACCAAACGTTTACCGACCAGGGACGCTGGTGCTCCACTTGGTGTCGAAATGGAAGGACGACATTTCGAACATTTGTTATAAATTGTTTTCAGAGCCGACTATTGTTGATTTAATGTTAATTTTTGTTTTTCAAACGTTTCAAATAATACATTTTACAAGGAAACCCCTTTTTCTTAAATTTTGAATTACAGCGCCATCTGTTGATAAATTGAAAAAAACTTTCAAATAAAAGTTATTCATTTTTTTATGTACTACCAAACTACCTGTGAAAAAAATCGGGTCATTCCATTTAACTTTCCAAAGTTACCCCCCGTTTCACCCTTATGGAGGGGTAGGGGGTGGCTAGCGGTAGCACCAAATAATGTTCCCTTTGGTCACATTAACCTTTTATTTAAGACATTTTTCCGTGAAATGCGTATTTCTCGAGATATTGAGCTGTCTCAAGTTAAAAGAAACACCCTGTATATCTCCATTATTCGAGCTAAACTAGCAAAACCCCTTTAAAGATTAGTTTTGAAGGTTGCATAGATTCGATTTTTCCACATTTCATCCCAGTTCAAATTGTAAGGTCAAAATTTGTCGCACAGTGTAATATAGGATAACTTAAAGAAAATCTTTATATTCAATTAAGAAAATTTGCTAACTTGTACGTTGGGCTGCCCTTTCTCGTATTAGATATATTGTCCCGGTCTTGGCCTGACTTTTTAGGAAAGTCCGCGGACTAACTCGTGAATTAAAGTTTTAAATGATTTTTTGATAAATTTTCACAAAATTGGATCAAACAGGTCTTTAAAGATACACCTGGATAAAGGTGTTTTGTTACATTTTTAATAAAAGGACAAGAAACGTTGAAATTGTAATTTAACATGTAATTAAAAAAAATTAAACATGTCATTTACCATAAATTAAAACTAAATCCTTCCGAATATATTCGAGGTAGAACACTCAAAACAGAACGTTTAATACGTTTAATTAGAAATTTGAAATCAAGTCGGTCACTTATGATTGTAAAGGCCGTTTATGGTAATTTATGAAAGTGACGTCCAATTCCATATAAAAAATAATTAATTTGTTAAAAATTTTATCATACCTTTGATAAGGCTTGAAACGCAGCGTCGGTGAACTGCGAACATCCAGCCACTTCCAACGTAGACAAAAGATGACACTGCTGTGCGAGTGCGATAAGGGCAATATCAGTCAGCGCAGAACAACCGGACAAACAAAGATAGTGCAGACGCGGACACTTGTCTGCCAATGCTTGTACCGCTTCATCCCGAATATTCTGAAATTATAAATTTACATATAATCAATGTCTAAAAACAATGATATAATTCTATTGTAATAAACCTTAAGAATACGCGAGAAATTGACCAATCATAATATTTAGGCTTCTCGCAATATCAAGGTTGCACATAGAAATTATTTAGCAATCTTAGTACAATGGAGGGCACGGAATTTCTTACGCATCTTACTTCCGGTTATAACTATTTTTGTAATTTTGAAAGCAAAAGCAAAAATGGTCATTATTGTATCTTTGCTATTTACAGATTTATTTATACAAGGACAACCAAATTATGATGTTCGAAATTCCGTGTCCACTACTATACATGTAAAGTCTTAATAATAATAATAATAAACATCTTTATTGGTTTCCCAACAGGCTATCGACCGTGGTCTTTCTGCCCAATTTTACAAAAAAAAATTTATAAATATAATAATTGTTAATTGTAGTTACAATATTGAATTTATATAAAAAAAATAATAAAAACATATAAATCTCAAATATTTTAGTCTTCGTTAGTGATGTCCGTGATTATCTCCCATAAATGTGTAGGATATTTCCTTTTGGGGGGCAGGTTATGGTCTCTACCGTGCATTAAGTTTTCCATAATTTGTATGTTGTGGTGTTTTTTTGCAAATTGGCATGCCAGCTCCTTGAAACGTTCCAAAATGGGGATGACCTGCGTTGTTTCATATAGCAGTTGATTTGATGGATTATGAAGTGGATTATCTGGGTGTCTCATTTTGGTGATTATTCTCAAACTACTCCGTTCAGCCACTTCTAGCTTACCTACAGTAGTTTTTTTGCAATTTAGGTAGATTAGGAAGGCATATTCAATAATGGGCCTGCATATCATTTTATAGATTTTAATCGCAGTTTCAGGTTGTATACATGTAAAGTCTTATTTTATGAAATGTATTTAAAATCCAAATATGTTTTTCTTGCATTTGATATAATATTATAATTATAATTATATAATTGTTAAAAGACAAGTGTTTTTAAAATAAATACAGGGTGTGTAAATAGGCTTATATCATTTGTTTGTATAATATTGAATAAATCAGTCTGGACTAATATGTCATGAGAAGGTGAACAATAAAAAAATCCATTTGGGTTTAAAGTACGTCACACGTTTAGGAAGCCATGGGGAAGGGGGTCTAGATGGTGCTTTATGTCACACCAAACAAATAAAAATATTTTTTTTGCAATATTAAAAATACTTTTGTGGTGCTTATTTTTTTATTATTAATATTATATGATATTATAGTTTTTATAAGAAAAAATTGAACCCACACCTCGCCAGTCAGTTTTTTGTTTTGAGTGCGTTCCACCAACTTCAAATACCGACAGACAGCTGTTTCGACCTATATTGGGTACTTGGTGTAGTGGAACAAACTTAAAACAAAGGACTCCCTGAGCTTATATGCTGGGTTGGTAAGCCAACAGAGGCGAGATGTAAGAACATCAGGTGATCCACACCGTCTAACGACGTGGCCTTTGCCGCAATCGGTACATACTATGCAACCGAGACTGCACACAGCAATTGTATCTAAAATTAGCTAAACATTAATGTAAACATTCAATTTTCTTAGTTTCTTTAAGAAACTTTCTTGACCCATTACTGGTATTATTCATAAGAAAAAATGAACCCACACCTCGCCAGTAAAGGGGCAAGAAAGTTTCTTAAAGAAACTAGCCTATTAAAAATGCCCTATAGAACCCATATTGATCCAGATAAGGAAACTAATATGGATTTATATGGTAACCATATTATGGTTCTATATGTCCTATATGGAACGACCTGGTTTACACTTTGGAATCTATATGGATTAATATGGAATTCCATTTTAAAATGTACGACTTAGGGATTTTTATATGGATTTATCTGGTTTCTGTTTCATGTGTCTTTCCATTTAGGTTTCCCTATATGGTTGAATATGGAATTCCATTTTAAAATGAATATATATTTAAACGAAAATTGCATATTAAACCATATAGATTCCCCTATATGGTTAAATATGGATCTATATGGTAATAATTTTTTCACACCCAAACCATATTGGGCCAGATAAAGCAATATGAACCTATATGTCAATCCATATAGAAATCACTTTTCTACATGGTTTTCCAGGTATGGAATTCTATCTGGTTCAATAGTGCAATGCCTGTTTCAAATTCCTATATTGAACCAGATAGATTTTTATTTTGTGTTTCTATATGGCATTTTTAATAGGGTAAGAAAATTTAATGTTTATAGTGTGACGTGTGACCTTGGGGGGGTCGAAAATCCCCAAAAAATGATTGTCGTACTTTATAGACAACCTCTTTTTAAAATAGATTTATTTCAAAGTAATTTTTTATCAAACGAGTTATGCCATATGAGAAAAATACAATTAAAATAACTAAGGAGTTTTAATTCAAAACCAGCTAACCCGCAAGATTTAATTTTGTCTGGGCGACGTAAAAAAATTCGCATATTGGAAGTTTAATACCAAAAAAGTTTTTAATAAAAAAGATGACCTTTGGTTTGTTAATAATTAAAAATGATTTTTTGTTAAAGCGAACTCCCAATATGCAAACTTTTTTACGTCCGGTTTTGAATTTAAACCCCTTGACTAAGGTCAAAAACACAATACAAATTTTTTATACTTTATATTATATACAATACATATGAGGAGGTCCATTCCAAAACTCGGCTTATCCACTTTTTAATAAAAAAGAGTTGGTGGTGTCTGTACATTTAACATGTAGCCCCCTATACCCTGAAAAGGTCATAATATTCTAAAACTCAAATTATCATTATCATGTCAAAACTGGCTTATACGTATGTAGTTATAAATTATTTCAAATTGGAGCTATACCTTTTTAATCAAGGTATATAAATTTAATGCTTATGCCTATATATTTCGTTTAAAATATTCTGTTGGCCTGCGTTAGTACTCACGTGTAGGGTTTTTAAAATTTTGCTCAAAATCACCTAATATGGATAAGCCGAGTTTTGGAATGCACCTCCTCATATACTATACTAATTTTCTGACATTTGCCTTTTTAAATGACGCAAAAGATCGGCTTAGGATTCGCGCCACTTATTTTTGGACCTGCATTAAATTTCTTGTTTAGCTATAGCATAGGTTCAGCTGCATAACATTAAAAAGCAGGCCGTGTTAAATTTTAAAACAATATTTGATTAATAAATTGTTTACTTACGTTACATCCAAAAAGGTTAGCAATTTTAAAACAATATTTGATTAATAAATTGTTTACTTACGTTGCATCCAAAAAGGTTAGCAACTTGAAGTTGTTGACAAAAGTTGGCTAAACAAATGACAGCGCGTGAAGTGATTTGCTTGCATCCCTTGCTGATGAAGCTCTTTAATTTTGGACAACCCCTGGCAAGGGCCTCAACTCCGTTTTCAGTTATATTGCAACACCAACTTATGTTGACATGTGTCATGTTTGGACATCCATCGCTGATGGCCTTAAGCGACGAATCTGTTATAGAAACACAACTGTCCAGATTTAACCTAAAAATATAATTACATAATAATTTATTATTATTATATAATATTAATTTGGCCCCCAGATATTGCACGATAAAAAATTAAAATTAAAATTATTTTATATAAAATTTCTTATAATTTTTGTTTTTTTTTTCTATTTTTTGCACATAATCCGCGAACTGTGCTTTTTGCGGTAAATAATTACGATAAACACCTATAATATTCTAAAAGAACTATAAAAGATAGAGCTTGGTGCGACTAACAAGAGGCGACCAATCCATGAGCGTTTGAACATATTTTCCCGGCTTTGCAAACTACAAAACATTTTCGACAGCTGCTTGCTTTGTATACCAGCACGAAATTATGTCGACCAGTGATGATGGTACCGTTCCAAGTCCCAAGGTCGTCACACGTTTTTAGCTTTCTGCCTGAATCTGATGAAATGATCGAAAATAATGATGTTCAGCTGGTGATTGTGTGGTTGGCAAATTAGCGACATTGGACTTAATTTTTACCATTCGTGCACGCAAACAGCTTTAGCGGGAAATAATCTAGCGTTGTTTTATTGCTTTCTTTTCCATATAGGTCAATGAAAATGTTTTTCTCATTAGGGTTGTAACCTCTTGAAATCGTTACAGCTTAAATCAAATAAACCTGGCTACAACACTATACCGTCATCAGGGTAAAAGATTTTCATTGCGCTTTATGAAGAAGAAAGAAACAAAAAATATTCTAATTATTTTTTATTGAAGCTGTTCTCGTGGACGAATCGTGAAAATTAAATCCGATCTCGCTAATTTACAACCTATAGAATCGGCGACTGAACACAATTTTTTTTGAACACTTTATCCGGTGCAAGCATGGTTGGCGAATGATTTCGATCCAGAATTAAGCCAATGAGTCAGAAGGATCGAAACCATCATCACTTGTCGTACGAATCGCGCAACGTGCGGCTGTCGAAAGGCCACAAGGTGGTCAAAACTAATTTGTGACCTTAATAATTGACCTAAAGCCTTTTTTCATTTTATTCAGAAATAAATGCTCTACAAAAAGTATTTTATGGTTTCTTCGTAAACCTATTCATTCAAAAGAAACAAAAAAGGAATTAAAGGAAAACATAAATAATCTGAAATCAGAAATACACCAAACAATTGGAAGTTATGAGGAAAAAACTAAATAATTTACAGAATGAAAATAATATTTTAAAAACTAGAATAATTAGTGTAGAAAGAAGAGTACGAAAAAATAATATTATAATCTTTGGATTAAATAAATAAAAATCTTAAACAAGTGGTTTTTTAACTATTCTCTAAAGTTTTAAAAGTTGAAATAACGGAATCGGATATAAGTTGTATTTACCCAATAGGAACGAAAGCCAAAAAGCCAATTGTCATTGAGTTTATTTTAAATTATAAAAAGGTTTTAGTTATAAAAAATTGTTATAAGTTAAAAGACACTAATATTGCAATAAGTCACGATTTATGTGTTGAAGACCAAGAAAATAATAAATTGCTGATAAAATATAAAAAAGACGCTGTAACAGAAGGAAAAAAAGTGTCAATTTTGTGTGACAGAATAAAAATTGTTGGAAAAATAATATCTATGGAAGAAATTGGAATATCAAAAGAATAGTACAATTACTGAAGAAAACCGGCCAAAACGCACAATATCTGAAATAGGTAAACTTAATTGAAGAAGAAAAGGGGAATACAACACAAGAAGCAAAAAAAGCAAAATTAATAAACCATCCTCTGATTATTCTAAAATAACAACTCGCTCTACATCAAAAATTAATAATTGTTTTTAAAATAAATAGTTTTTTTGTTGTAATTTATTTGTGGATTGTATTTTTTTAAATTTTAACTGATTTTATTGTATTTATTTTCTTTTATTGTATTTAGCTTCTTTTATTTTATTGTATATATTATTGTATGTACATCACTCCATGAAAAAGTCTGAAAATAGTCGACTTTGACCCAGGAAGGATAAAATGGGGTTCCCGGTATAGAAATATACCGGTATTTCTCGAGAATATCGCAAGCTTTCAGCGAGGTATTTTGTGATTTGTGCAATCGATTTAATGAATGTTTCAAGATATGAAATTCCACATGTCTGTGAGTGGATGGCTTCGAGAAGCTCAAGGACGTAAAAACTTGTAACTGGGTAGTAAGAGCCTAACTGGCTTAAGACCAATTCTCTCGAAAGAGAATAAAAAGTATAGAAGAAGAAAGTTATTAATGCATAGTAAAAGAATGTTTGCTGGTTATATACGAACTTAAGTGCAAGTGTTAATTTTTTTGGAATTGTATATTTGAATTTTTATAACATAAGAAAAAGTTTTAATTTTAAACACTAATTTTTAAAGTTTTATAATAAATGTTATAAACAAAAAATATGTTTTTTATTAATAATTTTTTTCAATTTTAATTGAATAAGACGTCACTTATTAGTATATGTTTGACGTCTTACACCTCTGTCAGATGGGAATAATGTATGCGAGATTTGCGTATCCAAAATACAACAAATACATACATTTAAATGTATGAATTTATTGTATCTTTAATATGTAAATCTCGCATGCAGTTTCGATTTCTGAGATTCACGTCATAATTACGTCATATTGACGTTAATTTTTGGTAAGAATGAGGTACATTTTGACCAAAATATGACTTTTATTCACGTCACTCTGCTACCTGGGTAGGTACAACCCTCTTGGATTTTATCTTTTATTAGAAAATGAAGAATAACTATGACAATTTTTTCAACAAGTTTTTTTAATTTATTATTATCATTAAACCAATCAGGGTTCATACTATTGAATTCGTATAAAATTCCCTGACTTTTTCAGGTTTTCCAGAACTTTCTCAAGCTTTTTCCATAGACTGTGGAAGGTGTCAAAAATTGATATTGATATTCAGGCAAATGGGAAAAAAACAAAAAATAGAATTTATATTTTGCAGCTTTAATAACAGACCATAAAAACAAAAATAAATATATATAGCGTAATTCATATTATATGTGACCTGGACTATAGAAAGGTACCTATGGTCGGAAGAATCAATTTTTGTTTTTTGATCGAATTTTATATAAAATTTAATGTATTTTTTAATGAAACTTTTGCTGGAAATCATCCTTAAAGTTCAACATGAATTATAAAAATCGCGAAAAAAGATATAAGATCAAAAATTGCATTTTTTGATCTTTTATTTTCTACAATATCCTGAAGAGACATATCGAAAGACGAATCTGGTACAACGTCATCTTCTATGTCACTAACACCTGCACCTCCACCTTGATCTTCGTAATCTTCATCACAATCCGCAAAACATTGTTTCTCCACTGCTTTAAATTCTTTTTCTAAATCCATTATGCACTTTCACAAACTAAAACAACTTTATATTAACTGCCCGGACAACATTCGTGATATTCATACGAACATCATGTCGTGATTTTCACAAATTTTATTCATACTGATATCATACGGAAGTCACCGCGTGATAAATGAAAATCATACGAACGTCACGTCGTGATTTTCACAAATTTTATTCATATGGACATCATCCGGATGTCACTGCGTGAGAAATAAAAATCATGTCGTGATTTTTTATGCCATCGCTGTTTGCGATTGACCGATGGCACAAAAAATCATGTCGTGATTTTTTACGCAATGACATCCGAATGATGTCCGTATGAATAAAATTTGTGAAAATCACGACTGATGTTCGTATGAATATCAAGAATGTTGTCCGGGTTCAATTAAAAAAGATATTCCAATGTTTAACAAAACGTTCACGTTTTGTTAAACATTGGAATATCTTTTTTATGTGAACCCGGACAACATTCGTGATATTCAAACAACGTTTTATAAATTTTAACGGTGTAATGTGAATAACGCAGTTCGCAGGGCTCATACGCATGCGCAAATTTTGCAAATATCACATCGTGAGTTCTACATGATATCACTGTGATGAAGCATGTGTATGCACTCAGGATATCACAGCGTGATAAAAAAATCACGTTGTGATATCATCATGACTTCACCAGGAAATCCCGATTGTTGTCCGGGTGCATAACAACGAGAAACCACGATCTCGAAAATACAATGATAAGAAAAGCAGCACGTATTATTCCAACTTTTTCAACGTTCACAAAATTAGCTATTTAGGGGAAATCACTTGAATAAGGTACAAAAATATTTATTGTAAAAGCACCACTGTATAATGGAAGTCTAAAGAGAGGTGGAGAGCCAAGAGTAAGGCGAAAAAAGAAAAGGTAGAAGCGCAAATACAAACGCGACGCACGGACAGTACCTTGTTATCTTTAACAGCTGTTTTCTCGAAAACTTGATTTATAACCATAGGTAGCTTTCCGTAGTCCAGGTCACATATGTAATTCAAAAACAAAACTTTTTTAGATCTTTTATAATTTAACTTAATAGTTATAACAAAACATAGAGCATATTTCTCGTACATAAAAACAAAACAAAATACAAAAATAAGTCAAATAACTATTTTAAACTTTTTCTCTCAATATTTGTAGACGTCTATTGATACTGTCCACTTCATGGTTGGTTCCTTCAGTTAATTTTTGTTTTTTGTTTTCCTGAACCTAAATTTCCGTTATTAAACAATTTTTCACAATTACGAGAAAGACTTGTAATGTTACTTTGACTTTTGTCAAAGACAAACTGACAGTTACACGATTAGGTAGTTACATTAAAATTGCCCAAGCATTTCATTTATATTTTAATATTTAAAAATCATAATGTAGATTGTGTAGGTATTAAGTAAATATTATTTTCTTTTATATTATTATTATTATTTTAAGTATTAGTATTATTTACAGATAATTCCCTGACTTTTCCCTGACTTTTCGTTTTTTCTTTAAATTCCCTGACTTTTCCATGACTTTTTAGACTCATTTTATATTCCCTGACTTTTCCCGGATTTCCCGGTTTTCCCGGTCGCTACGAACCCTGCCAATTTATACCATTATTAAATTTTATCCCTTATATTAAAACTTTAATATATGTACTGTTATGACATTTAAATAAGGAAGGTAGTCAAATAATTAAGGTTATATTTTTTAATTTAATGTTAATTTCGTCTTATTTCCTGAAAATGATACAATACATAGGTATTTTTAATGTGTCTAAAGGTCTTAATTATTTTAGTAAATTATTTTTCATGGTATGGGACATTCAGGGTTGCTATGATTTGTCCATATTTATTGTAACATATTTCATCATCGACAACAGCCCCCTGCTTAAAATACCCGATAGAGACCCATACAAATAATCTATCGGGCGCTAACGGACTCAATATGTGCATTTGTCCATGCTTTTTTCCGGATACGGCGCGATAGAAAATTTATAGGAAATTACCTACAGGTACACCATAATTTCTACATTTCCCCTATTGAGACCAATAACTCAAGGGAGGATATATAGGGATATCCCTATAAAGCAACCATAAAACATTTAACAAAATTTTGTTAAAATCTATGGGGTCCTAAGGGAGAAAAACTAATTTCTACATTTATGTGTATTTTCCCTCTTGAGACCAATAGCAAATAAATCAAGGAAGGATATCCCTATAGAACAACCATAAATCCCATGGGTCCTATTCATACTGATACACCCTATAGAAACACCATACAATCCAATACAAAAATCTATCGGTTTGAACAGGGTCTCTATGTGACATTTTCACCAGGGCCATTATATTTAAATTTACCGCGTTCTGTTGTGTAAACCAGTCTCGTTTTGCAGCGACATCTACGGCCATATAAATAAGGTTTTAAAGAAAAAAATCTTGCCTGGATTTTGAAGTTAAACCATAATTAATTTAAAATCTTTATGTTTAGAAAATTTAAATCTTTTCATTAATTATTAAAGTTATACATTTTCAAAGTTTGATTTAAAAAAATAATGTTTTCCCAATTGAAAACTTTGACTGCCGTGGGGCCAGGTTAAAATAAGAAGAGCTGATACTTGACAGGAATTTTTATTTATTTTAAACTGATTTATAAATAAAAAAAATAAGGACCACCCTAGGGTGGTATATCTAGCTTTTTTATACCCTTTTAAATATCATTAACACAATATTTTTTAATGAATTAAAATTATAAATTCAATACCTACCCTCTATTATTTTAAAAATCCTGTTTAATAATTTTAAAATAAGGGATATTTTACAAGACCAAAGCGCAAATGTTAAAATATATATATATATATATTTGATTTTTATTACCTTTGTAATTTAGAGCAATGTCGCGAAAGAGCATTACAGGTTGCATCAGTAATCTTTTTGCAACCATTTAAATTTAAGTCTTCTACATTTGGACACAACTGAGCCAGTGTTTTCATTGAGCCATCTGCCATGGACTGGCAACCACGTAGAGACAACTGTCGTAAAAATCCTCCACATCTTCGAGATATGTTTTCTATGATTGGCCCCTGAAAATTCAAATTCATTTACTCTCACAAATATTTATAATACTCGTAGTTTTTCTTTTTTACCTCCACATCTCTTTGAAAATCAAAAAGATCAATTCTTTGCCAGTTGCTTCCATCTAAAGCCAATATATTCCATGATTTAGAAACTTGGCCACATCGACACAAAGACACAACGTCTAAATAGGAAAAAATCCGCAATAATAGTTCCTTAGGCAATTTTTTATTAATTGGGGCCTCATCTTCATGAAATACTTTATTCAACTAAAATAATATAATCTTTTTTTAAAATTGTACTCAGTTTTATTGGTGTAGCAGGAAACTTAGTGTAGTCTACTGCTAGATTCCCCATTTGTTGCGTTTGTGCACATTAGACCCTACCTACCCCTTGTACGCGACATTCCACATACAAAGTATTTAAACTAACAACATGTCTGACCTATAATAATTATAGGTATATAGAGTCGCCTATTATGGGGTACCATTTTAATTTTTAAGATTATTTTCTTTATTTAGTTTTGTTTATTTTTCAGTTTCTGGTTGGTTCTTTAATATGCAAGCAAGATAATACTAAATAAAAAAATCCTTAAAACATTATAATTTTTGTTTAAAAAAATAATTTAAAAATTCTGTGATATAACCTAATATAAGGTACTTAAAAAAATATCTTGTGAAATTATATAGTACAAACAAAATAAAGAAAAATAAAAGGTAATTACAACTTTAAAATTTTATTGCCCCGGGCCCCCGGTCCAGAAGGGCCTCCAAATCTTAAGTAGTAATTCTCAGTCCAACAAAAAACTATCTAAAATTTAGGGTTTTAAATTTTTTCGGAAAAAAATTGGGAAATTTTTAGAAAAATTGACTTGCATTTTTCTCATTTTATTCAAAGAGTAATACTTACAAAACAATACAGTCAATTTTTCTAAAAATTTACAAAGTTTTACAGATACATATGTAGGTAGTACTAGGTAGGTACACTATCCGTATACTGATATCGAGAAAAAGTGAATTTCCGACGCTGAATATAATCATAATATCATTTTCTTAAATCAATTTAATTTAATTCAATGTTTAGTTTTACTTTTTTCAAATGTACATATATATTAAAAAAAAATTTTTCCCAAAAAAGACATTTTTTAACGCCTGGTTTTTTTTCCCAATTTTTTCGGTTATTTTTTTCGACACTTTAAAACCCTAGTATATGTAGGTATAAATATTTCAGGACCCAGCTTTACCATAAAATATAAACTGATTAAAAAAGAAATACCCCGGAGTTTTCAAATTTCTAACGAATAACATGCTAAAAAAAAATACATTTTAAACATAAAAAAACGCCAAAAAATATATTTTCAGGCCCACTACTAAAGCAGGTACCTATTCGATTATCTCCTAGGCTGTAAAAATAATTTAGACCACTGATGCTATCTAACCTCACTTTATACTTTTAATAATTGTTACTATAATTGAGGCGCTTCTTACAAAAACAGCCAGTCCAAAAATGTCCTGTTAATTTAATAAAACTGTGCCTAGATAAAATGTTGTATGCCATTCGGCATTGGGCTTTGCTCAATTGTAGGCCTCCGATTTACTCCGATATTACCTGTCCGAGTAAATTCTCTACATATGGAAAACTTTTATTATTAATTTTACGAAAAAAGTAATTCTTTATCTGCTTCCTTAAAAAAAATATTAGAATATTAAAACTTGAAATACACAATTATAGGAAAATAATTATACCGAATTATACATTTACGGCCCAGGAAAGAAGTACCCTTAATTTTTATTTTAAAGCAAAATAAAATAAAGAAATGAAATTGAAATTAAAAGTTTAATCAAGTTTAAATCTATAGCCCTAATATAAAATTCTTGATATTTAAAAAATTACAATTAAATTACATTATTTAAATATGCATTTAAGTAGCTATATATTATAATAATATTATAATAATAATTATAATAATAAACGGGCAGAAGGACCTAGGTCGATAGCCCTTTGGTTAATCCAATAAAGACTTTTTTTTATTATAATAATTGTTTCTCACGTATTTGCCCTACCAACATGATTACATTTTTATTTTGTTTTTTAATCTCTGTTTTGCAGTAATATTTTTGATGCATTTTAATAATTGATAATAACGTGATCCTCTATTTTCCTAAATACAATAATAATTATTATAGTAAAAAACATTCCATGTAAATAATTTAAACAAAAATACATATGTAATGATGTTTCTCTCAATATAATTCTCATTGCCTCAACATAATATGTTATGGTATGATATTATCCACCTTCGTAAGTTTTTATTAGTCATTTTATAAATATCAAGAAATTTTTAATAGGAGGCCATGGATTTAAACTTGCATTTAACTTTTTATTCTAAGCTTATTTTATTTTGCTTTAAAATAAAAATTAAGGGTAATTCTCTCTTGGGCCAACTATAAATTTTTCTATTTTATGACCACCCTGAACATGTTAAGTTATAACCTTTCAGTAGTCGCGCTATACTCTTTTTTAAGTAGAGTCTGTAGCACCGGGTTGTTTGATTACAGGTTTTGCGAAATGTTTACTATCAGTGAAGTATAATGGGTAAAAAGGTAGGTACACATAGGTACAAAAAATTAATAAGAAAAAATATATAAAAAAGTCTTTATTGGGTTAACCAAAGGGCTATTGACCTAGGTCCTTCTGCCCGTTTACAACTTAATAATATGTTTCTATACAATTTTTTGATATATATATATATATATATTAGGGTGTTCCTTAATAAGGTTATTTTCAAATTTCTTTGCTCCCAGGGGCTTAAATGCTTCCAAATTAATAAAAAAAAATTCCCTGAAAATTTGAGCTCTTAATATTAACTCTAAGATAGTGCGCATTCCAATCTAAGTTTCCTATGGAAATAACATAGGAAAAATTACTTTTGTTGTTTATAATTTTATAACTTGGGAACGAATAAATTAAAAATTATAAATCATATATATTTTTTTATAGAGAATTTAACGCTCTACAAAAAAGGTCTCTTATAATTTTTCGATTAGTCTATTTGTTTAAAAGTTATTCAACGTCAAAGTTTAATTTTCATATTATTATTAATATTATCAAGGCTTTTTTATAAGGCGCCGTTTGTGTCAAAATTAAAAGTGCTAAATAAACTTATTTTGTTTTATAAATAACACTGTGCGACAAATTTTGACCTTACAATTTGAACTGGGATGAAATGTGGAAAAATCGAATCTATGCAACCCCCAAAACTAATCTTTAAAGGGGTTTTGCTAGTTTAGCTCGAATAATGGAAATATACAGGGTGTTTCTTTTAACTTGAGACAGCTCATATCTCGAGAAATACGCATTTCACGGAAAAATGTCTTAAATAAAAGGTTAATGTGACCAAAGGGGACATTCTTTGGTGCTACCGCTAGCCACCCCCTACCCCTCCTTAAGGGTGAAACTTTGGAAAATCAAATGGAATGACCCGATTTTCACAGAGTTTGGTAGTACATAAAAAAATGAATAACTTTTATTTGAAAGTTTTTTTCAATTTATCAACAGATGGCGCTGTAATTCAAAATTTAAGAAAAAGGGGTTTCCTTGTAAAATGTATTATTTGAAACGTTTGAAAAACAAAAATTAACATGAAATCAACAATAGTCGGCTCTGAAAACAATTTATAACAAATGTTAGAAATGTCGTCCTTCCATTTCAACACATTTTTGAATGCGGGTAATGAATTCTGGCACACAACGCGCCAACATGTCGGGCGGTATCGCATTCCATTTGACTTTCCAAAGTTACCCCCCGTTTCACCCTTAAGGAGGGGTAGGGGGTGGCTAGCGGTAGCACCAAATAATGTCCCCTTTAGTCACATAAACCTTTTATTTAAGACATTTTTCCGTGAAATGCGTATTTCTCGAGATATTGAGCTGTCTTAAGTTAAAAGAAACACCCTGTATATCTCCATTATTCGAGCTAAACTGGTAAAACCCCTTAAAGGATTTGTTTTGGGGGTTGCCTAGATTCGATTTTTTCAGATTTGATCCCATGGGAACTGCAGTTCATTTTTTGTGTTGCACAGTGTAATTAATTATATGCTTTACCAAATGATTTTTTTATACAATTATTTTTTTATAAAATTTTTTATAATTTTTTTTTTGTAAAAAATTTTATAAAATAATTTTTTTATAAAATATTTTTTTTTTAAATAATTTTTTTATAAAATAATTCTTTTTTATAAAATTATTTTTTCATAAAATAATTTTCAATTCGAATCAAAAATTATTTAATAAAAGACGACGGGCGCATTTATAAATAATTTATAATTATTAGTTTTTAATGCAGCCATCTGTATTTGTTTGTAGACACTCGAGTAAACCCGAGTAAACCCGAACGCCCCTCCCCAGATACAATTTTATGACGGGCTTTTGTTTGACGCAATTTGGGGAAACGATTGAAAATAATAATTTATTATTTTTATTCAATTAATTCATTAATTTTTTTATCTACATTTATTTTGATTTTTAGTTTTTAACAAGAATTCTTTATGTTTAAACGTTTTTTATAAGAAAGAACTTGTTAAAAACTTAAATAAATAAATAAAATAATTCTCTTGAAAACAAATTAAAATAAACAAATCAATTCTCTTAAAACAAAACTAAAAATCCAAAAAAATTATTTTATAAAAAAGAATTATTTTATAAAAAAATAATTTTATAAAAAAATTATTTGGTAAAGCATATAATTAATTATTTATAAAACAAAATAAGTTTATTTAGCACTTTTAATTTTGACACAAACGGCGCCTCATAAAAAGGCCTTGATAAGATTAATAATAATATGAAAATTAAACTTTGGCGTTGAATAACTTTTAAACCAATAGACTAATAGAAAAATTATAAGAGACCTTTTTGTAGAGGGTTAAATTCTCTATAAAAATATGTATGATTTATAATTTTTAATTCATTCGTTCCCAAGTTATATAATTATAAACAACAAAAGTAATTTTTCCTATGTTATTTCCATAGGAAACTTAGATTGGAATGCGCACTATCTTAGAGTTAATATTAAGAGCTCAAATTTTCAGGGAATTTTTTTTTATCAATTTGGAAGTATTTGAGCCCCTGGGAGCAAAAAAATTTGAAAATAACCTTATTAAGGATCACCCTAATATATATATATATATATACAGGGTGTTTCTTTTAACTTGAGACAGCTCAATATCTCGAGAAATACGCATTTCACGGAAAAATGTCTTAAATAAAAGGTTAATGTGACTAAAGGGGACATTATTTGGTGCTACCGCTAGCCACCCCCTACTCCTCCTTAAGGGTGAAACGGGGGGTAACTTTGGAAAGTCAAATGGAATGACCCGATTTTTTTTACAGAGTTTGGTAGTACATTAAAAAATAAATAACTTTTATTTAAAACTTTTTTCAATTTATCAACAGATGGCGCTGTAATTCAAAATTTAAGAAAAATGAGTTTCCTTGTAAAATGTATTATTTGAAACGTTTGAAAAACAAAAATTAACATTAACAACAATAGTCGCCTATGAAAACAATTTATAACAAATGTTTGAAATGTCGTCATTCCATTTCAACACATTTTTGAATGCGGGTAATGAATTCTGACACACAACGCGCCAACATGTCGGGCGGTATCGCCGCACAGGCGTTTCTGATCCGCTCCACCATGTCCTCCCAAGTTGTAGGAATTGCAGCGTAAACTTGTTCTTTCAAGTAACCCCACTGGAAGAAGTCTGGTGGCGTAAGATCAGGTGATCGAGCAGGCCAAATTACTGGACCACGTCTACCGATCCACCGCGGTGCACCGGCCATTGAACTCCCGATCCAACACCTCTCGAGCAATTGCCGAATAATGTGCAGGACAACCATCTTGCTGGTACCACATGTTTTGGAGCCGTGCTAGTGGTACATCCTCCAAAAGGTCCGTCAGATCGTTTTCTAGAAAATTCCGGTACTTTTCGCCATTTAATGCACCGTCAATAAAGAAGGGTCCGATTAATCATTCGCTTAAGGTACCGCACCAAACGTTTACCGACCAGGGACGCTGGTGCTTCACTTGGTGTCGAAATGGAAGGACGACATTTCGAAAGATTGTTATAAATTGTTTTCAGAGCCGACTATTGTTGATTTAATGTTAATTTTTGTTTTTCAAACGTTTCAAATAATACATTTTACAAGGAAACCCCTTTTTCTTAAATTTTGAATTACAGCGCCATCTGTTGATAAATTGAAAAAAACTTTCAAATAAAAGTTATTCATTTTTTATGTACTACCAAAATCAGTGAAAAAAATCGGGTCATCCCTTTTGACTTTCCAAAGTTACCCCCCGTTTCACACTTAAGGAGGGGTAGGGGGTGGCTAACGGTAGCACCAAATAATGTCCCCTTTGGTCACATTGACCTTTTATTTAAGACATTTTTCCGTGAAATGCATATTTCTCGAGATATTGAGCTGTCTCAAGTTAAAAGAAACACCCTGTATATATAAAAAAGTTATGTATAAAAAAAAATTAACAAATTTTATCATAATACTCATATATTTGAACAAATAAAAGGGGCTATTGCTTTAATATTTCCCACAAGGTGAGGCTAGGGTTTTTGCTTTTTCTTTGTTCATCTCCCAGTTTGATGCACAGTGTTTTTATGTTTTTGATGTTAAATTCTGATTCTTTAAATCTTTGGGTGAGTTCTTGTAGGCGTGTAAGGATATTGGGAATATTAATAATCTCATAAAGGAGGGTGTTTGGTGGGTTATGGAGGGGGTTGTTGGGGTGTCGGGTTTTTGTAATTTTTCTGATTGCTGTTGTTTCTGCAACTTCCAGTTTTTGAAGGCAGGTTTTGGTGCTGTTCATGAATAAGATACTACCATATTCCAGGATGGGACGACATATCATGGTGTATATTTTTTGCAGTAAGTTTATCTATGTCTTTATTTTGGTACGTTACGAGATTTTTCAAAATATAGGCAAAAACAAAATCAACATTCTTATAAAAAAGATCTTCAAACTTTAAACATACAAAAAAAATTGCAACTAAAAAAAGTTAAAATTAAAAAAAAATATTATCTTTTGGTCCTTATTTAATACGGTAGTGAAAGAAAAATTGAAAAGATTGGCAAATGCCTATTATGTGCTCTAAGCACATGTGGGTATTATGTTTAAAACACACAAATCCAGTTTTTCTATTTTTCTTCCAATTGCAATAGGCACATCTACCAGGGGTAGTATTTTCTTAAGATCCTTGAGTCTCAATTTAAAACTTCGTGGAATGTCAGTCAAATCAGCACGAGTTATTTGTAACACGAATGGTCACCCTAGTCTCACACACCGGAAATCACTATAATTCGCAATAAATATGTTCAATCGCATCCAAATTGCAACTGAGCATGCATGTACACTATTTAGAAAGGTACCTACCTGGGCAGTGAGGATTTTATCTCCACCACTTTCAAAGTTTAGTTTAATTTTAAATCGCCCTGGTGACTACTGAAAGGTTAATAGGTTATTTTAATATTATTTTTTCAGAAAGCAGAACTTTTTATAAAAAGTAACATTTTCATAAAATTAATAAAAAAAGGTTTCCATATGTAGAGAACTTACACGGACACAATGTATATATTTATAGTATCCTCAGCATACTTCCTAGAGAGAACCATGGTTCGGTCTAGGTAGTTATAAACAAACACTCTGCACCTTGATTTAACCTCATGCCAAATAAATACAACTACAAACCTGTTGTTTAACTGAGTCTACAGCCATTTGCGTTGATTTTTCTGAAATGTAATATCTATTGTGCTTATTTTTACCCCGCCACCATAGGCGACAACTGTTTGATTTATGGGCATCTAATTCTTTGTTTCTTTCTTGAAATGGTGATTGATGTGAAGACTACCATGCAAAATAAAACTTTTCAACTTTATAAATCATAAAAACAATTAGGAAATTAATGTGCACAAGGGATAATATATGAAATGGTGCAATAAAGATAATTTGACGCTTTCAGCGGATAATATTTATCATAAAACAAGATTTATCATTTCGAATAGTCTGTTATTTTGATTACACAAGTAATGAAACAATTGCTGCTATTATAGGAAATGTTAATGTTTAAATAATGATAGGAAGGTATCAATGCTATTTAATTGCAAATAATCACTAAAATTATGCAAATTAAAGTCAATTTAAAAGTAAAACTGGTTGCCAATAAATGTTAATGTTAGGAAGAGTTATCTGAAGTTTAATATTGTTGTTAATTAATAGAAAAACAAGCAAAAAAGTAATTTTTACTAAAACTTTTAAAACGTCAGTCAACGGCCAACATGTTTGGAACGAATAGTAATGAGCACAACAAAGAACAAAGAAATTAAAAATAAACATTACTATTTTTCGCTACACTTTTATTTAATGTTGTCTAGCAAAATCAACAATAACACAACAAGAAAACCCACGAAATAACAATCCAAATCGCACGAATCCAAAACGTATATTCTACTTGACGTTTATACAAAATCAGCTGTTTTACTTCAAAAATTAACATCAATAAAAACAATCAAACAAACCACGAAACAGTAAATTAACTACAATTTACCTCTACTTTGTTTCTGCCAGCATAAATCATAGTACGATGGACCAAAATGTTAAAAAATTTATATATTTTTCCACTAAAATCACCGCACACCATGCACTTTTCACCAAATCTTCCGAACTGTTAGTACAACGTCCTTGGACCAGGCATCCAGTCGGCGAATCACGACGCGGCGATTTGTTTATGAGGGTTTCTATTGGTCGCAGGGCATTCAAAACAAAAACATCCCTGACGTACCGTCTAGTTGGCGAGACTGGAGAGGTCGACGAACAGAAAATAAGTCCTTGCAAAAAGTCTTTTGTCTGTCTCCATTTCGCATGTACCGTTTCTCCTGCCGCTGCTCTCGTAAATCCTGAGTTCGATATCCTCTTGACGATCCCCAAAACCTACCTCTGTTCCCGCTTTTTTTGGGCCCAACAAGCGACATACTAAGTATAATTCCTTCTAGGAACATTAATTCTTTTTGTTTTAAAGGATATTTACGATAATGTTTTAATTTTAATGGCGAATTTATTCATAACCATATATGGTTATGAATAAATTCGCCATTAAAATTAAAACATTATCATAAATTTAACAGGCAGTGTGGTACACTGAGAAAAAAGTTTATGGTTCTCAAATAAAAAGAATAATTAAATATGGGACAGAAGAGATGTTTATTTATTCTAAATATATTTTTATTTCTGACACATAAAGTTTTACTAAAGTAAATTTATCGTTATTATTTCGACTATTTAGAGGTAATAAACAATATAGGTATTCACTATTATTAAAAAGTATTAGCTACACAGTTTATTTGTCCCATGTTTTCTCAGTGTAGCAAAAGTCTAAGCAGAACCGAAACACCGGGTATGGAAACGAAACCAGCAACGCCACCTGAGTAACGAAATCGTAACAAAGCCTCCCGGACAACAATCGGGATTTCCTGGTGAAGTCATGGTGATATCACAACGTGATCAGGGCCGGTGAAAGGGGTGGGTACAGTGGGTACTACTACCCACCTGGATTTCTCCAAGGTGGGTAACTACCCACCTGGAAATTGGGCCAAGTTTTTTTATTTTCTTAAAAATATCATATTTTAAATATGAACTGGATAGACAGCTTTTAAGTAAGCTAAATGACATATGTCATATGAGTACCTTAGATGCAAAACTCGGTTTTTGCAAATTAAAAAATAAAATAAAATTGACTTTAAATTCTGTTTAGTGTTCGTCCTGGATAAATGGCGTTCATAAAACTTGATACATAATAATATTATATTATATATTATATTATTATGTATCAAGTTTTATAAACGCCATTTATCTAGGACGAACACCAAACAGAATTTAAAGTCAATTTTATTTTATTTTTTAATTTGCAAAAACCGAGTTTTGCATCTAAGGTACTCATATGTAATATTACACCTAAATTTACGCAATTTTATGTGCTCAGATTTATGAAGAAGAAGAAGAGTTTGTTTCAAGTTGTAAATAGCAAGTGTGTATGTTACCGTAACATTACAGTACGTCACGTACTGTACGTGCAATACTATATATATATATATATATATTAGGTATATCAGGTGTGTTATAAAAAAATGGACCGTTTCGTTATTCGGGCCGGCCGGGGCAAAACGACAAGTGAGGCTGTTCCCAGTTCTAGTCAAGATAAAAGGCAACAGGCAGATATCTGCCTATAATATTATGTGAGTGAATCAAATAAAACTTCGGAACGTGAAAATGACTATAGGAAAAAAATTAAGGTTTGCGAAAATATACAGAAAGAATCCACTTATTCTGTAGCCGGTAAGTACAAAAATATTAATAGTGATAGTAATAAAAAATCAATAAATTAATCCAATAAATCAATAGGTAATTACTCTAAAAGTTTTACTTCAACTATTAGTATGCCGCATATCGTATGCCAGGTATATTAGTTTTTAAATAGTAAATATCCTTTTTCTATGAGTACAACCGAACATAGGGAAACGTATCGGGCGTGGCCTCGCCTCCCTTCAACGCGCAACACAGAACATAAGAGTGTAAAATACTGAATTTAAAAGGTTTCAAATAATGTATCAGTATATGTTCTTTTGAGATACCACGAGCATTACAACGTTGGAAAGTAGAACATCCATGGATCGTGTTGGATTTTGCGATTTATTTTAAAATTTGTTCATTTTTTGGGAACAGTCAGTATTATACCGGAGCGCTGAAACCGCTCGGTATAGTACAGCTGTCCCCCCCACACTTGTAAATAACGTAGGTTTGGATTATTTTTAAGTAGTATTGCATTGCTTGCTATTCAATATACATTGTAAAAAGATTCATTAAATAAAATCAAGCAGCAAAATTGAAGATTGATTTATTCAATTAAAACTCGGCAACAAAAATATCCTTAAATACAATAAATACAGTCCACTACAATTCAAAACATGGTCCTACCCGAACCTGGATTGATCAGAAGAACGTGGTTTCCTGCTGGTGCATTGTGACGCCGAGATCCTGACGCCAATTGCGACGCTGGATCAGTCAATCGTCTCGTAATTTTGGGGACGTTGGAGTTGGAGTTCCATAATATTTGGGCCGCTGTTCCTGGGCATCCGTTTAGGCCAATCAAGTTGTTTCCCGAAGTACTTGGGGCAACATCATCGTTGGATCCTGTGCCACTTCGGCACGCTATCCTTTACTTCCTGAAATCCATAATAATTGTGGTAAGTTTCTATTTGGAACGCTTGGGTAAATTTAAATTCATCGTCGTTAATTTTAAATCACCTATTGCTGGGATTTAAAAAAACCTTCGTTTTTTATACATATACCTGAAATAAAATTGATATAGTTAGTTTATTACCTTAAATAAGTAAAATTTATGTAATATATACTACATTAAAATATAAAATACATATAATTTACAATATACATATAATTTACAATATTTTTTAAATTAATTAAATTTTGAAACATAATTTATTATTAAATATATAATAATTATGGCTGAATTAAAAGAGTTAACTAAAAAAAGGGGTATATACAAAGCTGCATTTACTAGATTTAGTAAATATTTAAACAAATTAACCGAGCCTATCAACGAAATAGAGCTGGAAACTCGCCTTGGTAAGTTTATAGAGCAATTTAAAGAGTACGAAGCAATTCAATTCCAAATTGATGTGCTTAGTGAAGAAGGCGCCGAAGATGTCGAGCATGTTGAAATTGAAGATACTTATTATAAACTTGTATCTATTGGTAAAAGTAAATTAAATTCAATTGTTAAAAAAGATGAAAGTAGGCTGTCATCTTCATTTAGCACTAGTTTGCCCACCGAAAATAATGTTAAATTACCTCGAATTAATCTGCCAGAATTTTCTGGAAATTACGAAAACTGGTACAATTTCTACGATTCATTTAATGCCATGATAAACACAAATGCACAATTATCTTGCGTACAAAAGTTCTATTATTTAAAATCCGCTCTTAAAGGTGAAGCTGCAGCTGCAATACAGGCTCTTAAGGTTTCAGATGACAATTACACTGTCGCCTGGCAGTTACTCAAAGAACGTTATGAAAACAAAAGACTTATCATTTATTCACATTGTAAGGCTATTTTTGATTTGCCTACAATTACTAGTCACTCCCATCTTTCCCTAAGAAAATTCGTTGACTCGTTTCTTATTCATTATAGAAGTTTAGAGGCTCTGAAACAGCCTGTAGATCAATGGGACTCAATTTTAATTGTTTTCTTGACTTCTAAACTTAACTTTGTTACAAGGAGTGAGTGGGAAAAGCTTCAAAACAAAAATATGCCGACAATAAAACAATTTACCGATTTTTTAAATGCTAGGTGTGAAACTTTGGAGAGCATAGACACAAAATATAGCAAAAATAACTTTAATCATACAAAGTCTTATACTCATGTTGCAACTGAAGTAAACAATCAAAGGTGTGTGCTCTGCAAGGGGTCCCATATAAATTATTATTGTAATAAATTTTTAAATTTAAAACCCCAACAAAGATTTAATGAAATTAAAAAATTAAATTTATGCATTAATTGCCTAAAACCTGGACATTCCACAAATCTTTGTAATAATTCTGCTTGTAAAAAATGCGGAAGAAAGCATAATACTACATTGCATTTTTCTTCGCATAACTCCAATCAAGACCAAAATTTAGACATAAATAAAAATCAAAATGAAAACCAAAAAAAAAATTCTCATAATTTAACTCAAAAAATTAATTCTAATAATGAAATACAAAAATTTAGTTCTAATAATGAACAAGTAAAACATGATTCTGCAATTACAACACATTGTATTTGAGTATGAGTATGAGTATGAGTATGGGAACGTATGGCAAGCCCCAGATATATTGTCATCCACTGATCTCCCGAGGTTATATTACCCCCTTTCCGTTCTCCTACGTATCCCGCCAAATCACAGCATTACCTGTGTTTGTTGGATCCGAAGTTTTTACGCCGGCTGGTAGATCCACCCTAGGAGTTCGTGGATGACAGTGTCAAAGGTTAAGGCAGCTCCCGGGATTTTTGTCAGCCGGGTCGGGCCATACGTCCAGTTTAGGAAGGGCTTTTGGAGGACATTGAACTGACCCAAAACTAAGTACAATCCGGAATCCTCCTAAACCAGGGCTTTAGTAATAACCCCATTCATTTGGTATTCCTGAATGGGGGTGGGTATGTTAGTTTTTTGCTTACTCCGGTTACCAACCTTGTATATTCTTTATTTATTTTATTGCTATATTAGTGTTCATACCGTTTTCATTTATTTATATCTTTGCCTTCTTACTTATTTTTTTTTCAAATTAATTTAAAATAAAAATATTAATATACAAAATAGATAAAGCCGGCCCTGTGGTGTATCGCATCAATATTTGAAACCCGGCCCCTATGTCAGGCGTGCAACGCATGCCTCAATAGATGGCCTACCACTTCATTTTCACGTGGGGGCTTTGCCCATTTACTTTCTCCATCCTCAAGCTTTGCTTGCGTGAGCTTATGTGTATATTATATAATATATATAATACAATAATATAATATTGCGACGCACCCACTTGATTTCCCTTCACACACGCACGCTGCCCTCTGCAATGATCAATTGTTGCCTGGTTTCCTGTTAAATTAGTATCTATATAAATTCAATATAAATTTCAATTAGTCAATACCAATACTAATACCAAATAATACAAATAATCAATACCAATATCAACCAATCAATCAATTAATCAATATTAACGTTAATATCAGTATCAACCAATTAATCAATCAATATTAATACTATGTCACGGTTCACTTTTCAGTGGGCGCTATCTAAAATAATATCTAGTTTTAAGGGCTCTGC